GTAATGGGATGGTAATTACTAAAAAAATTTATCTGTTGATGAAGGCCATGCCAAGCAGGGACAGGCGGTGGACATATTTCTTTTGGATACATAGCGTGGGTTTGAACTTTTAGATAGCTAGTGCCTCGGCTATGCCCAGATGTCTTAATTTCACTCCCTTTGATAGGTTTGATTGAATCTTGAAGGATTTTTCAAAAGGCGCTGAGTATCCTGAATTGATCAGATGTTCTGTCACTGAACTGTATACACGTTCCTACATTTCTAATCCCATAATTGCACACAATGTTAATCATCTTAGTTGTTATGATCCTACTTTGTTTGAGTTTTATCCGTCTCATTCCACTGTTTATTATGACATTCTAATTCCTAATTGTAATTTTTATTAATTTGAACCCTTAGCCGGAAATTCTTCTGGAACTTTCCCACATTGATAGGTGACGAAAAGGGAAAATAAAGTAGGAAAAAAAGGAAGAGTTGCAGGTTTAACCTCAGAGAAATATGTTTAGAAAACTTTGAGGAGAACAGTTATTCAACTGTTCTACCTACCTACAGCAGCTACATATAACAAGTGTTTGCAATCCAACTGGTGACTGAATGACATATTCAGGTGAATATAAGTTCTTCGATTGTGTTTAGAGGTTGAAAAAGAAAACCCACCTCTCTAATCTACATCAAATCAAACCGGTAGGACATGATAGTCTGACTCCAGGTAGAGAAGACTCTGAAAGGCGAATTACATCTTCCTGCCATAATCATTCATAAGAAGGTATGCTTGAGATTAACTAACATAGGGTTCCACAAAAGCTTACAAATGCGACGTTAGAAAGACAAAATTGAAAAAAACGAATAAGGCTAAAGGTGTAGGTGCATTAGTCCTGTCTTTAACCTTCGTCAAAGTCTAGAAGACAAAACATGCCTAAAGGTGAGGGGCGGGGCCATAATTCTTAACCTAATGAAAGCATTTTTTCTTTTTTTGGTTACAGCTTAATTCCACACCGTATTTTTGGTACAAGTGTGGAATTTTCAGTGTGGATATCGGTAGCCCGAAATTCGCAGGCCAACCATAGATATCAGGTGTTCGTCGGCGTGGGCTCGAACCCTGGACCATGTGCATGGTCGGCGAGAGTCCTAACCACTGTGCCACCGACTCTGTGCATCAAGACGTACAGTGTTAGTCTTTACAGATGGGTGGAATAATAAGAAAGACTATTGTACTAGAACTTATGAAGTCGTGTCTAAGAGCGTTTATATATATATATATATATATATATATATATATATATATAGAGAGAGAGAGAGAGAGAGAGAGAGTTGTCATCTATTAACAATCCACTATTTCATTATTCTCATTTTTCCTCCCATTATACACGTGTACTGATGGATGTAACCTTTTGGGAAACTTGATGATGTCTCAGGGACTGATTGGCTTGTTATTAGTCGAAGATTTCCTTGAAAGTAGGCAGATTACACGATAAATACCCTGACAAAATGTAGCAGGCAATTAATTAACTTGCTCACCATATTCTAGATGACGCTATGCACACTACTGGTCTGCAGCGAATGTCAGACTGACTAGTTTCAAAGCAGAACTTTCCACCAGTGTACAACAGTTCAATTCGCCACACTTCCTCCTTGTAGCACACAAAGCAAGAGAAGAAAGCAAAAAGAAATGCAAAGTACATACAGTAAACAGAGATATGAAGCAAAAAGAATAGTAATATCGAAGAACAATATAGTTTTATCGGGTATTAAAAGTCACAAGGAGTGGTTGCATCTGCACCAGCCATTGAGAACGATTTCGAGCCATATCACCGATTGTTTCCAACCATTGGATTTAACCGTCCCGAACACCCCAACCAGTCAGTCAGTCTGCACCATCCGACACGACTAGCTTGAACTAACTGTTGTGGAATTCATTGACTAATGAGGCTATGTTTTGGTTTGACCACCAATGGCTAGCTCTTTTCCAGCCTGATCCATCCTATGTCACTTAACATTGATCATCGAGGGAGGCGACGGCTAGGCAGGAATGTGTAACACATGTCGTAACCATCGCCTCAATCGATGTAACTTCATAACCTCGTCGATTGATTTTCCCTCCTTACCTAACACTCTACTGACGCCTAACCTCAATATTGCTCAGCCTATTATACCACTTCACACAGGAGATAGAACGCAGGCACCTGTGATCAAAGACAGCTAGCCAGCCTTTTCATGTCTTCCACTTTCAATGGTCAGGTGTCACAGCCATAAAGGAGGACGGAGAGGACTGATGAGCAGTACACACACCCTCTGGTCGATAGTCAGCCGGATATCACGTCTACGCCAGAGACGGCGTAAACCAAGCCTTCTGTATTCGAGATGAGATTTCGTGATTGATCAATCCGCTACGGCTGGCTGATGCGGCTCCCCAAATAAGTGCAGTGGTCAGCGCACTCCACCACTTCACTCCCTATTTCTAAACTAGGAGTCAGTGTAGTCCAGTCGTGTAGCATCATCTTACATGTGACAGGAGAGAATTGCATGGCAAACATACGTAGATTGCAGCCCATAGTGTTCAGAAGGCTCTAAACTTGATCAGAGTCTCCACCTACGCGGGAGGACTACATCATCTGCATATTGTAAGTGAACAAGATTATTCCCTGGTAACAAGTCAATCTCTGAGTCGCTGAAGTCAGTTAGGGTCAATTCCATTAGTACATCTATGATGAAATTGAATAGAAATAGAGATAGTGGACGCCCCTGTCGGACACCACTAGTTGTCACCATTTCAAATGACAACTCGCCGCAAGCTCTCACCTGGCTGCATGAGTTTGAGTACAGTGCCTTGATCAGTGTAATGTATTTTCTCGGCATTCCCCTTTGCAGCCAAGCATTGTCGGACAGAATCGAATGCCGCACCGAATGTAGTATTTCCTTCACATGTTTAAGAAATTGAATCCCGACAGACTGACTAACTGCTCACGAATGAGATCTCAGTACAAATACAGAAGGATTAGTTGGTATTAGCCAACTTATGTCAACTTTAGCTTAGACGTGATATCCCACCGTGTATTAAAAACAACAAGTTTACCATGCAGCGGCTTACTTTGCCCTATACTGTAGGGTTTTGAGTTATGGTTAAGGCGGAGAGGAATCCGAAGAAGCCATAATAAACAGAAATGTGTATCAGGAAGAACAATTACGCAGAGAATAATAAGATTTTATCAGTTTGGGAAGTTACAATACACTGAATGAATCTGCGCCATTAACAGAAATATTGACCTACATGACCAACATTCTCTCTCTGCATTTAACGCCTCAAATAACCCAAACAGGGTAATATACACCCCCTTAAGCGTTACTCAAATCAACAATCACAGATCTCTTGGATTGCTGCTCCAGTTTTGATTTGACCACCCCCCCCTAGTTGCTTGCTACCGTAATCCTACGTCTGCCTAATATTGGCCACCGAATGACATCGCGCACAATGCAGGCCATTACTCGAATGGAATTCAAATGGGAAGCGACGAATAGGTCGTCCTAGGGTGATACAGAAGAAACGTGCGAATAAGAGATGAGAGTTTATGTCTGTCTGTCTGTCTGTTTTCGACATAGAACTTTGCACAAATGTGCGGAAGTTCAATTCGCCACACTCCCTCCATGTAGCACACAAAGCAAGAGAAGAAAGCACAAGAAAAGCATAATAGAAACAGTGAGCAGAGGTGTGAGACAAAGGAGTAATAAAGAAAAACAAAACAGTTTCATTGGAGATCATAAGTCACAAGGAGTGGATGCATCTGCGCCAGCCATTGAGAACGATTTTGAGCCATGTCACCAATTGTTTCCAACCATAGATTTTTACCGTCCCGAGGACCCCAGTCTGGAAGTCTACACCTTTCTACGTGGCTTAGACCAACTGTTGTGGATTTCATTGACTGGTGAGGCCAAGTTTTTGTTTGACCGCCGTTAGCTTTTTCCAGCCTGACCCTATATCCGCTAACATAGCTCGTCGAGGGAGGCGATGGCTTGAAATACGTAACACATGTCCTAACCATCTGAGTCGATGTAGCTTCACAGCCTCGGCGATTGATTTCCCCTGTTTACCTAGAACTCTACGCCTAACCTCCATGTTGCTCACCTTATTATGCCACTTTACACTGGAAATAGAACGCAGGCACCTATGATCAAAGACAGCTAGTCTTTTCATGTCTTCCACTCTCAGTGGCCAGGTCTCACTGACACACATAAAGGAGGACGGAGCGGACTGATAAGCAGTACACCCGCCCTTTGGTCGATAGTCGAAGATCTCGTCTACGCCAGAGTCGGCGTAAACTAACAAATGCGAAACGAGCCCCCTGTATCCGTACTCAGCTGAGATTTCGTCAGAGATCAACCCGTTGAGGCTGATGGTACTTCCCAAATAAGTGAAGCGGTCAACGTGTTCTATCACTTCACTTCCTATTTTAAACTAGGCGTCGATTTAGTCCAGTCCTGTAACATAATCTTGCATTTGGCGGGAGCGAATCGCATGCCAAACATTCGTAGATTGCGGCTCAAGGTGTTTAGAAGACTCTGCATTTCGTCAGCGTCTTCGCCTAGAAGGACTATATCGTCTGCATATTCCAAGTCAACGAGATTATTACCCGGTAGCAAGTCAATCCCTGAGTCGCTGAAGTCACTTAGGGTTAAGTCCATTAACACATCTATGATGAAGTTGAATAGAAAAGGAGATAATCGGCATCCTTGACGGACACCACTGGTCGTCATCAGTTCAGATGACAGCTCGCCGTAAGCCCTCACCTGGCTGTATGAGTACGAGTAGAGTGCCTTAATCAGTGCAATATATTTTCTTGGAATTCCAATGACCAATCGTGGACGCTGCTGAAGAGGACGGTAGACAACAGAACAAAGTGGAGATGTGTAGTCGAAGCCATTTGGTCCACTCGGAACCCTAGAGAATAACAATAATAATAACAATAAATATACACACACACCCACACTACCAAAACAATACAAACCTTATTGTTTAAATTATTATTATTTCCACACTGATCATATTCACTTCGTTGATTCTCTTCAATTCTCCCATCAATAATAACACCAGTTTGACATATACAACCAGCATAGATGGTGACACGTTGCCCAATCGATGGTATCGGGGTTAAAATAATCGGTGGTGTACCCAATTTAAAAGAGACAATCGGTAGACGACACGCTAAGCGTAATTTCACTGTCCAAACAACTGAAAAATTGATACAATCTTTTGATTTCAATGGTTGATTCCATATGAATGCATCATACAAAGATGGCAGAGGTGATGAGGGCGAAGACGTCGAGGAACAGGAGGACGACGATAACGATAGAGGAGAAAGATTTGAAGATGTCGATGGGGAATTTAGATTTGTAGATGATAATAATAATAATGAAGATGATTTCGACAGATGTTTATTCATCATTAACATTGGATAAGTGAGTAGAATCATTCCACGACGTAGTTTTACTGATGAATGCCACATTTGTGAAGTATTGGTATTACTATCATCCGGCTGTTCATTGTAGGGGATATTTTCTTCATTCCCCGTGTTATCATTATCATTACCAAATAATAAATATTGGGATCGTTTATTTTGTTGATTCATAATACCATTAGTATTGTTATTATTATTATTATAAGATGAGGAAATATTTTGTAATATATGAATACGTTGACTATAACTTAGATTGTTCCATGACTTTGGTAAGAAATGTACCTCCATTGAAGCTAATTGACCAGCATAGACAATTTCATGAACTTGACGATTATGCATTAAACTGACTATTTGAACTGGATAAAAATCACCAAACTGTAGGAGGGGGAGTGGGAACACAGCAAAATAAATAAACATTATGAAACAAGAATTAATTCGCATTAATATATGTGTAAAACTTGTGCACTGTGGTAGTGAGTAATTCCATATTATTCACTATTGGTTTGTAGGGATTGGTTGATTGGTTACAGGATTTCATCATGAGCTGACAATGGCTAGAGAACCAGTGGAAAACCTAGGAATACTGGACAACTATTTCGTCCTAGTTTGGGACTCTTCAGCAGTACACACCCACCGGGATTCGAACACAGGACCTTCTGGTCACAAGTTGGCGATCTATCTCGTAAACCATTAAGCCACTGGGACACGATCGAATAGTTGTGCATGAATTCCAACTTCTGCCAATTCACGACGTAGCGCGACCACTGGCCAATATCTTCAGTGAGCATTTGTCCTGACGCCCGACTGGTTGCACCCTACTGGTTACGACTTCTCACTAGTAACCACAAGTAATTACCTACCTGAATATGGCCAGTCGCCACTGAGCGTCTCATTGATATTTAAGTATTGGTTTATTGATATAAGTATAAAACTTGGGCACTGTGGTAGAGTATAACTCCATTATGGATAAGATTTTATTTTGATAAATCACACGGTGGTTTGTACAGTCATATTAACTGATGATGACGTTTCGAGCACAAACTGTTGCCACTCATAATCATATCATGTTACTCACACAACTTTGTTCTTTCATTTATATACATGTGTAGAATCAATTAAATATTGGATTAAAATTCAATGTGAGATAATGTCCATTCAGAAATAATAATAGTACGAGTGTTGTTGATCAATTGCAGTTAGATGGGAAAAAGGACGAGTGTTTTTTTTCACAGTCACAATAAGCTACTTGTTAGAATGTTGTGTTTGAATTGAAATAGAATTTTAAGATTATTATCCTCCTCTAGTGTCACTGACTGGTGGTAATAATATCTTCCATATTTCTCGTATTTGCATTGAGTTATTTCTGTTGCATGTGTTGGGTGTAGACTTAGTAAATAAGGATTCTGTGATCAACCTCTCTTTCCACCTACCTAAATTATTACGGCAGGTCAAATCAGAAGAGGATAATAAATAATCTTAAAATTCTATTTCAATTCAAACATAACGTTCCAACAAGTAACATAACATATAACATAACATAACATAATATAAGCTTTATTCCAAATCAGTATTGTGATACAGAATGGAATTCTCAGCATTTTACTACAATATTGCATCCAGTTTTTTACATTAACAATAAATAAAGTTCTACATAGTTTAAAGTTATCTCAACAACGTATTAGTATGTCGGTAGCAAAGCCAAAATTAAAGTGTTTGAAGGTGGCTTATTATGACTGTAAAACACACTCGTCCTTTTTCCCATCTAACTGCAATTGATCAACAACACTCGTACTAATATTATTATTTCTGAATGTACATTATCTCACATTGAATTTGAATCCAATATTTAGTCGATACCACACATGTATATAAATGAAAGAACAAAGTTGTGTGAGTAACATGATATGATTATGAGTGGCAACAGTTTGTGCTCGAAACGTCATCATCAGTTAATATGACTGTACAACACCACCGTGTGATTTATCAAAATAAAATCTTATCCATAATGAAGTATTGGTTTGTTGGGATTTGGTTGATTGTCTAGAGGTCACGCTACGTCGTGAATTGGCAGAAGTTGGAATTCATGCACAACTATTCGATCGTGTCCCAGTGGCTTAATGGTTTACGAGATAGCTCGCCAACTTGTAACCAGAAGGTCCTGTGTTTGAATTCCGGTGGGTGTGTACTACTGAAGAGTCCCAAACTAGGACGAAACAGCTGCCTAGCACTCCCAGGTTCTCCAGTGGTTCTCTAACTAATGTCAGCTCATGATGAAATCCTGTAACCAATTCCGTATTAGTTTGTTTATTACATATATCACATAGTCAGTGAAACAGTATTATTTACTGGATGACACAGTTTCGAGCAAAATTTATTAATGTTCATAATCATCTCAATTATAATCACACGACTTCGAAACTTGAGTTTTATAGTTTCCTTTGTTCTCTCCTATTTGTCGTCGTATGGGTAGTCGAATTTTCCAGATGTCCAGCTGGACAGGTGTTGAATCATTCCTATTTCAGGTATTTACAGTTGAAAAAGTGGCATTCAAACCCACAAATTCAATTAGAAACAAGCTTCGTCGGTTAAGGGATCAATCCTGTGGAGCCCTTAAAACAAAACAATTTAGTTTATCCAATACCCTGCCTGCAATGGTTGTCAGGTCAAATACTTAGGTCAAACTAGTAGAACAGGGGCAGTTAGTGAGAATATCCGAGCATAAAAACCTAGCGGGGAAATCTAGATTAGTTAACCCGAATAAGATAAGAAATCTAGGCAATGGTTCAGCTATAGCACTCACCACGTGCAACTACACACAACCATACAATAGGATGGATGGGATAAGATGACAGTTTTAAAATCTAATGTAAGATGGTGAATGGAGGGAGAGATTGATAACGGGAGCTTTGTTTATCGAATCAACTGCAAATACATATAATAGCAATGATTCAACACCTATCCACCCAGATATCTGGAAAATTCTACTACTACCCCAACGACGACAATTAAGAGAAGACAAAGAAAACTTTAAACTCAAGTTTCCAAGTCGTGTGATTATAATTGGTGATATGATTATGAACAGTAATAAGTTGTGTTCGAAACGTCATCCAGTAAATAATACTGCTGTTTCACACTGTGTGATACATCTAGTAAACAAAGTATTATGGTAAAGTAGCATTATAATTATTAAGAAGATTGACATATTGTGCAATTGGAGGTTAGAAATGTAGAAATAACAAAAATAGACACGATGTTTGGATAAACAAATCTACGTGCATATACCAGTTTATTTTCTCTTGCGGAGCTGACTGAGTACATCGGCCGTACCATGAGACGACTTGAAAAACGCGCTCGTGAACACTATCCAGTCCGGCTAGCAGCAAAGGAGAACGAAAACGTGTATATAGTTCAGTGACAGAACATCTAGTCAATGCAGGATATTCAACACCATTCGAAAAACCCTTGAAAATAATATACAAAATACGATCAAACCTATCAAAGGGAGTGGAATAAGGACAGCTGGGCATAGCTGAGGCAGTAGTTTTTCAAAAGCTCAAACCAACACTATGTATTCAAAAGAAATACATCCAACCCTTGCCCCGGCCATGGCCATCTTAAAAACAGGTAATTGTTTTTAGTAATGACCATCCCATCGCCTTATATATCCAAACTTCCCACTTATTCATCTTATTTTTTAACTAATTTTAATCCCTCCTATTCATATCCAAACTTCCTATCTATTTCTGTCATCTTATTATTTTTACATATTTAATCTCTGATTGTATAAACAAGTATTCGTCACATCAGCTATGATCCCAGGAGCATTTTTATCCAAACATTTTGCCTCTTTTTGTTATTTCTACATTTCTAACCACCTAATTGCACAATCAATGTCAATCTTCTCAGTATTTATAAAACTATTTTAGTATACAATTGGTGGATGGTGGCTAGCAGTGGAATCCAGGATGCGCATTTCGTCCTATTTGGGACTCGTCATCTGGATGTACCTGCATTTCTCAGTGAGTGATGATGTTCCCACCGAGGCTCGAACCCAGTACCCATAGTTTCGAACGCCAAAGCGTTATTCACTAGACCACTTGGGCCACGAGAGCCACCTCTTGTGCAACGGGTCATATTAATTATTCAATTGAATTTTTGAATTTCCCGTCGACTGATTGGACCGAAGTGCTCGGTCTCAGGTCTCTGCACAAGAAGCCGATATGTCAACCTGAGACCGAGCACTTCGGTCCAATCAAAAATTCAATTCAAAAATAAAACTGTTTTGTCTGAGATTTATCAGTCCCCCTGTTTATTATGGTATTTAAATTCCTAATTGTAATTTTATTATACAATTGGTTACCTTGATAAATTTCGATGAAGAAAGGAAAGCGAAATTCGCAGTATAAAATGATATCGTCATTCTATTTCACAGGTTCTCGTCAACTGCACACCACTACCTGAAATTACAATGGCTTTATAGATGATAATAGCATACTTTAATGTTTGAGTGGTAGTAGAGATGACATAAAATTGACGAATCCAAAATGAAAGCAGCATTCCAATTTTTATTTTAAGTTTTCATCATCAATTTATACACTTTTAAAGTTGAAAAGAGGTGGGAGGGGTAAGATAGAAAACAGAAAAATTGATTAACAGAACAGTGTTATCTTGTAGCTTGTTCACATAGCAACTCAAGAAACAAAAGCGGTTGCAGTTTATGAGATTAAGATTTGCTCAGTGAGTGAGTAGAGATCACTGAATTAGATGACTAATTAATGTAATCAAAAGCAAAATTCAGTTACCAAGAGAGTAAGTGAGAGATTAATCACACAAATACACACACACACTCTCTCTCTTTGTGCATGCATAACTCTAGTTGGTTTGAATGGTTTGATTGCGATCGATTCGGCAAATCGTAGTAAATTTGCTGTCCTTCTATTATCCACTCAAAACTGGATAAATACCCTACTGATGTCACTGCGTTTATGAATTTAAGTGCACTTGCGGGAGCAATTACATTGGAAGGACAGAGAGGAGGGCTTCTATCCGGTTTTCTGAACATATTCCCAAAAACCTGTGCCTAAAAGCAAGCAAATATTCTCAGAGTGCAATTACCAGACATATTGCTGATACTGGTCATCTCGTAGAGATTCCTAAGTCCTTCAAAATATTAAATAAACAAAAGACATGACAAATTTACTACAATTCGCCAAATCGATAGCAATCAAACCATTCAAACCAACTAGAGTTATGCATACACAAAGAGAGAGAGAGTGTGTGTGTGTATTTGTGTGATTAATCTCTCACTTACTCTCTTGGTAACTGAATTTTGCTTTTGATTACATTAATTAGTCATCTAATTCAGTGATCTCTACTCACTCACTGAGCAAATCTTAATCTCATAAACTGCAACCGCTTTTGTTTCTTGAGTTGCTATGTGAACAAGCTACAAGATAACACTGTTCTGTTAATCAATTTTTCTGTTTTCTGTCTTACCCCTCCCACCTCTTTTCAACTTTAAAAGGGTATAAAATGATGATGAAAACTTAAAATAAAAATTGGAATGCTGCTTCCATTTTGGATTCGTCAATTTAATGTCATCTCTACTACCATTCAAACATTAAAGTATGCTATTATCATCTATAAAGCCATTGTAATTTCAGGTAGTGATGTGCAGTTGATGAGATCCGATATATATCCATATAATATGTGTGTTTTGTTTGACAGTCTGTATATTTGCTATGTATATATGGATCGACATTCCATTATAATTAGCCAATCATGTTAAGACTATCTATTGATTTGTTCATTTTGAATATTCGCTCACACACTTGTTCGGACATTCATATATATTTTTGCTCTCACACTCTTGTGTGACATATTGATTCTCCTGGTGTTTTGGAAAATAGAAGTATCATCGCAAACCTAGTGGTCTTCTGATTTCCTTCTTTCTTGCGTCAGGACTATTAAATTCTTGACCAGTACATAACAGGAACCTGTGAAATAGAATAACGATATCATTTTATACTGCAAATTTCGCCTTCCTTTCTTTATTGTAATTTAATTAATTTGACCCTTGACCAGAACTTATTCTGGAACTTTCCAATCTGTTTCTTATAAATACACGAATGTACAACCTAGTTGATGACTTCGTCGAAAAGAAAATTTTCTTCGCCTCAACTGTTTTCTTAATAATTCTTGTGACCCAATAATATTTAGTCAATTTACAAGAGGCAGTATCATCATTATCGTAGAGCCCCCCAGGGACAACTGCTGGAGGTTGATCACACACACACACGGCCTGTTTGAATTAGTTTTCAGGGTTGTATCCGTATTAGGAATTTAACGCCGGGCACGGACCACCGTAGGATAAATCGAGATGTACAATTTTCGGGGTGAATTTATTCTAACTCTTTCCTCTTATCCACAGTAAACAGAAACCATAGTTAGGTTGACTGTCCTCTTTCGAGGGAAACACGCCTCACTACTGTCACATCTTTAACTAAACCAGTAGTGCGAATCCACCCCAGCCAACCACAGGCCCTCAACATAATGTTAATGACTTCTACCATGGTGGTTATTCCTATCCAAATGCCTTTTGGGGCACAGTAGTGTAACAAGAGAAGACAAGGGTCAGACCAACAGATCGTTTATTTAGGAAATCAACACATATTTATAGACTTTCACGTACATCATTACAGATTATTGTAAGCAAACAAACACAGTCTTCTGATTGGTGGTTTTTCACTGAAAGTTAATCTCTCATCTTTTTGTGGCCGTTTCTTGAAGTTCAGATTATCTATCTGCAAATTATATCCGCCTACGCAAACATTATCTGCTGTGATTGGTTGTTGACTCAGTCTTTGTTCTTATTTCTCTCATGACCAATATTGGGGACGTAGACATTGAGGTAAATTACTATCTACTAATTTTGGCTAGCAGCCAGCTCTCACCACACTAGTACCTGCGGAATATTAGTTCCATAGAGTGGGGCTTCTGTTGGGTCGTTGCAATATGCATACCTGACGACCCCAAGTAGGTGCTATCCGTTGGGTATCCCCCCCTCGCATTGAAATATTTATGAAAACGCAGAAACAAGCAATTTAACGATTTCCACTTCCAGAAGGCAAAAGGATTGACCGAAGAAATATTTGCTTCTTCAGAGTGGATTCCGATGGCTTCAGGTCTACAAGGTGTGCCAAAACAGAGCTACGAATGGATCTTATTTGTCCCTTGCTTTTAACTATACACGATGATGTTCGGAAGTACGATGATAAACCTACCTAATTGTGTGTATACTCAATGTAGCTGGCTCCGTAGTTGCAGTCAAACATAGATACACATATAAAGTAAGCAAAATTCGATAGTTTGTCCTTATATCTCGAATGTAATAAAGGGAGTGGTAGTGAAAAGACAACGTACATATTTACTTCAATGAACGGTACTTTACTACAATTCTTCAGTACAGAGTCGAACGACAATGGGATAAATGGCTGCTATCTTTACTGTGGTAGTCAGGCTTATGGTATCGCTTATTTATCCCAAAAAAAAGCTATACTGGCAAGAAGTAATGTTCCTGCAAGTCCTACTGTGGTGAGAGCTGGCTGCTAGTCGAAATTGATAGACAGTAATTTACATCAGTCTGTACGTCATGAGAGAAATAAGAACAAAGACTGAGTCAACAACCAATCACAGCAGACTTTGTTTGCGTAGGCGGATATAATTTGCAGATAGATAATCTGAACTTCAAGAAACGGCCCCAAAAAGATGAGAGATTAACTTTCAGTGAAAAACCACCAATCAGAAGACTGTGTTTGTTTTGTTTACAATAATCTATAATAATGTACATGAAAGTCTATAAATATGTGTTGATTTCCTAAATAAACGATCTGTTGGTCTGACCCTTGTCTTCTCTTGTTACATTATTATACAAGAAGAATCTTTCGGATAGCGGTTAGACTAAGAGCAGTTACTGAAATAGCATATAAGTCGTTCACATCCTGTTGAGGGCCCGTGGGCAAAGTTGTACAGCTAGAAAATAAAGATGTAACTACAGTAGGGTGTTTTGGTTTCAAACAATCAACAACAAGCCGCCTATGCTGCCTCTTTGATCTGGCAACATGGGGATTAGAGGAGTTCGACCCCCAAAAGTTGTACATCACGACTTAATTTGCAGCAGTAGAATACGAGCACACAACTTTAAACAGATCGTGTGTGACCGGCCTCTGACAGTTGTCTCCTCTGCAGTCGTCAAACAACACTAATGCTGCTTCTGTGTCAGGTATTCCAAGAAGTAGTCAATTTACACGGTATGGGGAGTTGGAAAGTGAAAACCGCTAGTTCACTTCCATTAGCCCTTCAATGGAGATTATTCATGCATACAAAGGAACTCCAAGTGATCTGTTAGCTACATGAGACTTGATATTATATGGCTGGAGGCAATCGGGAGGAAGCCACCAAGCCTCGTGCTTGTTGGCACTCATCAGTCCAGGGCAAGGCGTACCTGCAACCTTGAAGGAACTTATGTCACTTCTGAAATTCGAACCCGTATCAATCAGTGCTGCAGTCAGAGACGTTATCACTCTGTCTGTTTGTTTTCGACATAGAACTTTGCACCGATGTGCAGTAGTTCAAGTCGCCACAGCCCATTCATCACACAAAGCAAGAGAAGAAAGTAAAAAGGAATGCATATTAGAGACAGTGAACAGGGGTATGAGACAAAGCAATAGTAACAGCGAAGAAAATTAAAGTTTCATTGGACATTACAAGTCACAAGGGGTGAATGAATCTGCGCCTGCCGTTGACAACGATCACTTTGAGCCATAACACACACTAGTTGTCTCCAGCCTTCAAGTGGTGTTTACCGTCATGAGGATCCCAACCAGCCAATCAGGAAGTCTACACCTCCCTACGTGACTAGCTTAAACTAACTATTGTGGATTTCACTGACTGATGAAGCCATGTTTTCATCTGACCATTATTAGTTCTTTTCCAGTCTGACCCTATATCAGCTAACATCGGCCATGGTCGAGGAAGGCAGGCGATGGCCAGGCATACGTAACACATGTCCTAACCATCTGAGTTGATGTAGCTTCACAGCCTCGGCGGTTGATTTCCTCTCTTTACCTATCACTTGACGGCTAACCTCAATATTGCTCACTCTATTATACAATTTCACACGGGAAATAGAACGCAGGCACCTATGATCAAAGACAGCTAGACAGGCTTTTCATTTCTTCCACTCTCAGTGACCAGGTCTCACAGCCATAAAGGAGGACGGAGCGGACTGCTGCTGAACAGTACACACGTCCTTTCGTCGACAACCGGCCGGAGATGGCGTAAACTGGCCCTCTGTATCCTTGCAGAGATTTCGTCAGAGATCAACCCGTTGGCACTGGCTGTTGCAACTTCCTAAATAAGTGAAGCCGTCAACATGCTCCAGTAACCACTTCACTTCCTATTTCCAAACGAGGAGTCAGTATAGTCAAGTCTTGTACCATCATCTTACATTTGACTGGAGGAGCGAATCGCATGCCAAACATTCGTCGATTGCAGCTCAAGGTGACATGTCCACGTTAACACTGAGCTATTCGGGATGGCAATTGATCTCCTGTAAGACTGACAGAACTAAGTTTGCATCAAACGGATCACTAGACACATTACCCTAGTTACTGACTAGTGTTCAATCAAAGTAGCTAGCTAGCTACATAAACATCACGGTAATGATAACAACAAAAAAAACAGATAAGCATCTCAGAGAAGCACACGATCAACTTACATGATCAGGACCAAGCCATAGGATTTGATTATTCAACAATTGACCAAGTTGTACACGTCCAACTAGAACTGGATTACAAACACCTGGAATTTGTGTATACACTTGATTGATCCAAAATAGTGTACCATTAAAATCTCGATAGGTTTTAATAATTTTTATTTCTTCATTAATTTTATTTAACATTAACTGAATTTGATTTTCATTTGATGACAGGTAAAAAATATCGCTTGAATTTAAAGATTGCGCTTGTTTAACAACAACATGTCCAATAGTGTTGTTCAAGGATTGATTTGATGATGTAAGCTGTTTGTCTTGTTGTTTTAATGTTAATTCCCTATCGATGGATTGATTTAAACAACTTAAACGACTTAAAAATTTAATTAAATGATCAATGCCTTGACCAGTAACAGATGAAACAGGAAAAAATGGTGGCATACAATGACTTCCGTTTGAATCTCTGTTAAAAAAAGGGAAGATTATTTGAAAATCAACTGTTATAAAAAGTGAATGTCATAATGGTTATTATGAAACAATATTGTGTCACTGTAACAAAATAATTAAGACCAATTTTGATAAATGGCCTCCTCCTCCTCCGGAGCCGTGAATGACTTTGGTATATGGACGACAAACCGACAAACTGGTCGAAGAAGCAGGACTCCAGGTGGTCGCAGACAAGACGGAGGTTATGAAAATAACCAACCAACCAACCAAGAACAACAACAGCAGCAGCAGCAACATCCAGCGCCAATCACCATCAACGGGAGGGATTTGCAAGAGGTTACTTCATTCACTCACTGATCTAGGGAGCATTGTCTCAACTACATGAGGAACGGACGAGGATGTCAAATCGAGGATCGGGAAGGCAGGTGAGAAACACGCATTCGTCAACCTGAAACAACCAATCTGGAAATCTCCGTTACTCAGCATCAACAACAAAATTCAGTAGGATTTTCAACACAAACGTCAAGTCAATCAGTTCTTCTATACGGAACGGATCAGAAACTTGGCGGGCGAGTCATAAAGAATATTTCCCAACAGCTTGCTGCAGACATTTATCAACCAACAACTGTCTTCGCTCTATACTGAAGATAAAATTTTTTTTTGACTTTTGATTATAGCCTGATTCTACACCGTATTTTTGGAACAAGTATGGAATTTTCAGCATGTGATATCGGTAGCCTAAATTTTGCAGGCCGACCATAGATATTAAGTAAGCGTCGGCAGGGAGTCGAACCCCGGACCATGTGTATGGTCGGCAGGAGTCCTAACCGCTGTGACCGCGCCGAAAAGAATCACCAACAAGAAACTATGGGAGTAAACAGACAAAACAAGAACCAATCGCCGACTAACAAATATGCAGAAGAAAGTAGAGATGGATTGGACACTCGCTGAGGAGACCGCTGGGTGACATCACGCGCGCGTCAGGCCATTGCTCGAGTGGAACCCGAAAGGGAAGCACGCGGCGAGTGGGACGTCAGTGCAAGGGTGACATGGAGGAGATTGTGTGAAGAGGAGTTGAAACAGTCAGTATGGACTAACATGGATGCAAGTGAAAAGTACAGCAGAAGGAAGACAGAAGCGGCAAGTGGAGACGTGCAGTTGAAGCCCTATGTTCCACTAGGAACCCAAGGGAACAATACTAATAGTAAATAAGTGATTTTATTCCTTATAATGCAGAACAAGAAGGAAGAATGAATGGAAATGACCTTGGCATAATTTTATTCTCGTGTGTGTATATGTGTGATATTGTCATCAGCTGATTGAGGCATACGGCCAAAGAAAGTTTATTCCCATTCATTCATTAAGTGTAAATTTGTCTAAGAAATGAAAAAAAACAACAACAACAACACAAAAGAGGAAAAAACAATCAGAATAAAAACAAACATTTTTCCTCATCATGTTTCATTCACATTTTGTGTTTAACTACTAATATGCACTACAACACATCCACACACACACACACACTAAAGCCAGAGCTTCACTCCCTTCATCATATGATATTTCTATTTCTTCTCTTGGTCACACACACACACACACTCGCTGACATAATTTATTCTTCCTTCATTATTTAACTTCCTTTTCTTTTTGTTGTTTTAATCTTATAAAGTCAAGGTCATATGAAGGTGAAGCGAAAGAGTGAATGACAGAGAGATTGATAGATATAGAGGCATAGTTAAGAAGTATATCTTTCAAAATGAACTTCTATTCATCAATCGTATTTAGATCTTTATTTAATGTTCTTTCTTTCTTTATTTTTTACGCGTTTGATCACGGATTGATATCATTTAGAGAACTATTGAAAATCAGGGAATACTGGACAGCTGTTTCATCGGCCTAGTTTGGGAATAATTGTTAGCACGTACCCACTGAGGTTCGAACTTAGGACCTTCCAGTTACAAGGCAAGCTGGCTCGTATACTATTCAGCCACTCACTGGGACCCGATTCAATGGCCAGCTCATGAATTCTAACTACTTCTACAAATTCGTTAATTAGCGCGACTGGCACCAACCAATCGGTGGGAAATCCATCCTCACACAGTTGGACTGGTTGGACCTCACTGGTCACGACTTCTCACTAGAACTCACTCCAGGAAACTCCATCCACGTTCTCAATGGTTCTCTAACTGATATCAATCCGTGCGTCGGTGGCACAGTGGTCAGGACTCTCGCCAACCATACAAATAGTCCGAGGTTCGATCCCTTGCCGACGCACGCCTGATATCTATGGTCAGCCTGCAAAATTTGAGCTAGCGATACCACATACTGAAAATTCCATACTTGTACCAAAAATACAGTGTGGAATCAAGCTGTAATCAAAATCAAAAATCAAATGTACCAAGCACTTCAGTTCAATCAATCGACGGGAAAATCTGAAATTTAGATATGATAGAGAAGATTTGTAGCACAGGTGGATGGTTTTGATGTGGTTGTGTTCTCTGAGCTGGATGGTTGATCTAGTTCCGTGTATCGATCTAGTTTCATATATATGACCTGCTCATATATAATTGGTATGACTGATCGATGGGGGGATTCAGGTTCGAATCCCTTTTCACGATTTTCAGTCTAGGCAGTACACAGCAGCAGCAATCAGAAAACATGAGTGTAGTTCATAGCCATAGCAAGAGAATTCTAACCAGACTTGTCTCAATTACAATCAGCATGTGTTTAATAATCCCAGCCAAGCGGATAATACTTTCAGCCAGAATTCGAGCAGTTTCAACCAGTGAGGTTCTCTGAGCTGGATCCAACTGCTGATGAATCCGGTCTAAAACGGTCAAAACAGTTGTTCAGTGTTTAGATACCTTAGATCTGGCTGTTTCACTTCGTTTAAAGTACAAAGTACTGTTTCCAGATTGCGAGAAGTCTATATTTATACAGGTGAGCAATCAGAAGCAGGCGATGTAGCTCTGTTTGAGTGCTAGCAGTATAACGGATGAGATGATATTAGATCGTTGGAGGCAATCAGCAGGAAGCCTTGGACACACCTAGGTTTCGTGCTAGTTGGCACTCACCAGTCCAGGGACAAGGCGTATCTGCAACCTTGAAGGAAGTCATCTCCCTTCTCAGATTCGAACCCGCGGGCTGCAGTCAAAATACCCACTACAGTCCTACAGGAGGTCAATCGCTATCCCGAATATCTCAGTGGTAACGTCTCTGACTGCAGCACTCGCTGGGTGACGCGAGTTCGGATCTCAGAAGGGATATGAGTTCCTTCAAGGTTGCAGATACGCCTAGCACGAAACCTAGATCCAAGGGTTCCTGTCGATTGCCTCCAACTATCTAATATATCATCAAATCAATGTGCAGCGTGTCGACGAGCTATCTAGAATGCTGGTAACATTGCAAACCTAACTGATAGAATTCAGTCTGCACCCAAGGAAGGACTAGACACAACACACTAGCTACTAGTTGCCATTCAAAATAACAGATGAGATCTCTAACAATCGCATAGTGAAAACCAGGGAAGCATCGCCAAACTGGGATACCTCTTACACGCCGTTACGACATTAGTCTGAACGTCAAACGTCTGGAAGTTCAAACCACCTCTGTCTCTGTAGAATCGCTTCCATCCAGTAACCTCACTATGTAAGTAATTTAAAAGTCTGACAGAGTGTGTTAGGATATATTGGAAACCGTCAGACACACATCCCATGAATGTCATCCAAGCAGCTCCCATACGGTTTGTTCGATGTTTGATAGAGCGCCGTAGAGGGCGGAAGGGAACACCGTAGGATGAAGAATAGTCGTGTCAAATGAACACTTATCAGTGCTTCACGACTCCCTCCCTCGCCCCCCCTTGGGTGGTGACATCCAACACATGATGCTTTTGACAATAAAACAAATAAATCAATAAATAAAAAACGACAGCAAGTAAATCAATTAATTAATCAATCAATCAATCGATCAATCTGACGTGAATTACTTATTTGAATTTAATTCCCAGCTGTTGTTGAACATTGAATATTTTTCATTCCATATCGGTATCCCATTATTATATGACCATGCATACTCGATTTGTTTAAATTGATACACTAACTGACGATAGATTGAATTGATCCGTTTCAACTGTTGTTCACCACCACTGGCTAATTGATCAATTTTTGTAAGGACAACAATCATTGGTAAATTTAGTGAACGTATCAATTGGATGTGCTCTAAACCGATTGTTGTCAAACCGATTGTTGCTGATATTACTAGAATACTCATAACAGGTTGATTACAAGCAATGCCAGATAGCGTGGTGCGTTGATATCTTGAATGTCCAGCTAAATCGATTAGAGTGATTAAATTCGATGACATTCGGACAACCTTAATAATAAGTAAAGAAAGAAAAAGTGTTTATTGTGTCTGAAAGCATGATGGAGTATAATATTGAACTAGATGGTCAATTCATTATAAAATGAAGGTTGTTTTTTGTATATTTCCTAATGAATGAAAAGGATAAAATAATATTGTTTTTTTTAAGAGTTGATCACGGATAGATATCAGTTAGAGAACCATTGAAAGCCATCTGGTGGGGGGGGGTGAGGGAGTACTGGACAACCAGCTGTTTCATCCTAGTACTCGTCAGTACGCACCCACCACTGGGGTTAAAACCCAGGACCTTCCAGTTACAAGTCAAGCTAGGTCGTATACCATTCAGCCACTCACTAGGACTCGATTCAATGGCCAGGATGGAGTTTCCTAGCGGTCTAGTAAGAAGTCATGACCAGTGAGGTCCATTCAAATGTCAAGTGTAAGGATGGATGTCCCACTGATGACATTGGTTGGGGGTTGCGCTAAATCACGAATTGGTAGAAGTTAGAATTCATGAACTGGCCATGAATTGGGTCCCAGTGACTGAATGGTATACGAGCCAGCTTGCCTTGTAACTGGAAGGTTCTAAGTTCGAACCCCTGTTGTGGGTGCGTCCTGTCGATGATTCCCAAGCACTAGGATAAAACAGCCGGCTGTCCAGTACTCCTTCCGACTGGTTTTCAATGGTTCTCTAACTGATATCAATCCGTGATTAACTCGTAAAAACAAAACAAAAACTTACAAACCAACTATAGGAGATATTGTTGGGTTTACTGACGTTTCGCTATTTAATGTTGCTGCTAATAGCTTTATCAAAGTTGTATTTTTTATTTTTTGATTACAGCTTGATTCCACAGCGTATTTTTGGTACAGGCATGGAATTTTCAGCATGTGATATCAGTATCCCAAATTTTGCAGGCCGACCATAGATATCAGGTGTGCGTCGGCAGAGAATCGAACTCCAGACCATGCGCATGATCGGAAAGAGTCCTAACCGCTGTGCCATCAACGCAGAGAATTTACAAAATTTCCTCAACTTAATCATCGTTTCTCAGCATGGGATAATATTTAGGTTATCGTCAAATTGGCCGATTGGTAAAGATAACAAAACCAGGTGTAGATGACTGTTGGATTTGATAAGCGCATAAAATTACACAAAAGCAGCACGTGTTTACATAATGAAATTACTTATCACATTCGTGTTGATTTTGTCACTTCATGACGAAGGGGGGAGGGTGTTGTAACCAGGTCAGATTCTGTTTCAGTCCATCATTCAAACTATTCAGACAATTTAAATTCCATTTGATGTGAAGTGCTTCTGATGATATCAGACGTTCTTAGACGTGATTTCTGAAATGCTTTTCTGGATTATTTCAATATTGTTAAAATCAATTTTTGTGGCCTGATTCGATAGCGTAGCGTGTGGACCTTTGGTTGGCTGATGATTTTTCAAGCTTCTCTAGTTCAACTGGATTTTTCGGTAGTCGAACAGATGCTCTTCGGTGTTCACTTCTTCTAATTGCTTTGACTTCTCGAGATGTTTGTCCGATACATCACATTCCAAGCATTTTATTTTATAAACACAATTGGATACAGAATCTTTAGGGATTTGGTCTTTTATATGGACAAGGTTCTTTCGCGGTGTGTCTGATGTTTTCAAGATTATGAATTTGCATAATTACACAGTTTGATCAGTAAGTATCCCTGGTTCACTCGGGGATTACCAGACCATTGTCCTTCAGGGTAAAGTGTTCGTTCCCTGATGTGGTCGTCAAAGGCGCGGGCCGATGAAGAGTCACAAACTAGGACGAAACAGCTGTATAACACTACTCTTTGGTTACCACTAGTTCTCTAAATTGATGAATGATATCAATTCACAATCTGACAGTTTGAAATTTTATACTTTAGCTGTAGAAACAATCAGTTTTGGTGACCTAAACTATTTGTTACTTAAGTTTCCCATCAATAATTCTTTTTATGCAAATGGAGACAGCGGGCAACGAGGAAACAGGCATAAGATGGACCCTCACAAAAACACTTTTGAGGATCTGGACTTCGCCGATGATATATGTCTGATTTCCAAAAACTGGAAGATATCCAAGTGAAAAGCAACAAGTTGACGATAGAAGAAGCATCCAAAGAAGATAGGCCTTCAGGTGAACATAGAGAAAACAAAGGTGATGAAGATTCCTAGCCAACACCACCAACAACAACAACAACAGCAGGCAACAATCAGCATAAATGGGAGGAACCTGAAAGAAACAACCTCCTTCACCTAACGACCAGGGAAACATCGTTTCAACTGCAAGCGGACAGAACTGACGAGGATATCAAAGCAAGAATCGGGAAGGCAAGACAAGCTTTCATTACTCTCAAGTCTGTGTGGAGGTCAACAGCAATCAGCATGTAAAATAAGATCCAGATTTTCAACTCCAATGTGAAGTCAGTGCTACTCACCATACAGATCAGAGAATTGGCCAGCGCGTCATAAACAGCATCTCAAACAAACTACAGACCTTCATCAACAGCTGACTTCGCTCAATGGTACTGAAGATCAGATGGCCGGTCAGAAAAGATCAGCAAAAGGGATCTATCTCTGGCAGTAAGCGAACCAACCCAGAAGGGACCTATTGTGAAACAAATAGGCAGGAAGAAATGGAGTTAGGTGGATTGGCTGGCCATACTCTGAGGAAACCATCAAGTGAGTGACATCACACGACAGGCCATCGCTCGAGTGGAACCCGAAAGGGAAGCGGCGAGTTGGTCGTCAGTGCAAGGGTGACATGGATGAGGTGATGCGAAGAGGAGATGATGAAAGCATGTGGGCAGACTTGGAGCCAGGTGAAAACTCTAGCAGAGAATTGAACGCAATGGAGACGCGCCGCTGAAGCCTTATGTTCCTCTAGGAATTAAAGGAAATAATAATAATAGTAGTGCAAATGGAGTCTTTTCTTAAGGATTCAACTGACTAATCCCCATTACTTAATTTATAGAAATAATTGGAAACTACTCATAACCAGTCAGATTGAAGTGTTGTAAAAATTGGATGACTCTTTCATTTATTTGAGGCTGGAGCTGGTCAGTGGTTTAACTAGATTGACTCAGGTTTAAAGAGATGAATCAGTTCAGACTACTTGAATCATGACTAGCAACTACTTATATCAATCAGGTAGTAGTAATAGTAGTATGCACCACCATCAAGTTATTTCGCCTTTAAATATTCTTAAGTAGATCAACATCTTATAATGTGAATATTTTTTAGTTTACCTACAATTATGTGACTGGCAAGTAAGAAATTTGATTCCAAAACTCATGGTGTAAATGACAGAAGGCAAGGGCCAGGAAACAGATAGTTTATTAAGAAAATCAACAGATATTTATAGATTTTTGTGTACATTATTATTATTATTATTATTTAGCGGAGAAGTAACGTCTTCTGATTGGTTGTTTCCCTGCTGAACGTTATTCTGTACCGCCTGTGATCGTTCCTTAGAAAGTTCAGCCATGTGTATCTGCGAATCGTATTTGCACACGTTACACGTCTGCTGTGATTATAGTTGGTGAATTCCTTGAAGATTAAGCTTTGTTATTGCTTTTTTTCATGACCCTGATTTCAGACGTAAACATTGACGTAAACTGTTGTCTACAATTTCACCTTACAGGTAGCTCTAACCACAATACATCAAAATTAAGTCAAGATGTAACAACAGAAGACAAGGGCTGGCAATAGATCATTTTATTACGGAAATCAGCACGTATTCACATATATTTTATGTACATTATTAGAGCTTATTCAAGTAGACAAACGCAGTCTTCTGATTGTTTGCTTTTGAGTTCCTCGTAAAGTGGAGCCATCTATCTGCGAATCATATTTGCCCACGCTTAAGTCCGCTGTGATTGGTTGTTGAATCAGCCTTGTTTATATTTTCTCACGGCCAATATTAGTGACCTAGACATTGACGTAGATCAATGTCTACCAATTGGCTATCAGCCCGCTCTCACCACAAAGATACCGTTTTTTTTACAAAACCAGAAGATGTAATCAGCTCAATTACAGATTTCTTTTCACTCCAGTTTCTTCTATTTTCACAAGAGAAAGGAGAATGGTCACCAGTTCCTACTATGTGCCATGTTGCTAAAAACCATTTTATGGGGAGATATGTTGAATCTATTTTGTGGAAATCTCTTGCAACATCCAGTTCATTTCAAAGAATTCTGAAGATTTATGTTCGGTTGGTTACCCAATCGTTATTATTTAGATATCTTTTTGGTATATACTTTTTTTTTGTGATACAGATTTTGATGAAATAATCCTAATTCTTTGTAAAATTCTGAGGAACAAACATCAGTATTCAATATCTGTAACAAACAAATGTTTAGTTTTGACCACGAGCTAATTTATAATGATATAAATAAGAGAGAATATAAGTCATCTACTGTTATACCATATGAAGAGGGGACATCTGAGACCCTCCCTATGTGGGATTCTCAATAAAGCAGGAATTAGACTGGTGGCATTCAAATCTACAAACTCACTCAGGTAGGACAACCTCTGTAGGCTAAAACCCCCGGTGGACCCAATTAAACAAAATAACATAATTTACAAGATACCTTACAATGACTGAGTTAAGTCAACTACATCGGTGAAACCAGTAGATCGGGTGGGGTAGTCAGATTGTCGGAACATAAGAAATTAGCTACAGTAAGAATGGTTGACCCCGAGAGGGTAAGTAATTTAGAAAAAGCTCAGTGACTGCACTTCACGCATTGACACACAACCACACAATAGAGTGGGTGGGAGAGGGTTAAAATGCTAAGAAGTATGTAATATAGGTAGATGGAGATAGAGACAGATGGATTACTGAATCCTGTCCGGTTCATTAAGTCTACACCCAACACAACACATGCAACAGAAATGACTCAATGCAAATACCAGAGATATGCATGGAAGATATTATTACCACCAGTCAGTCAGTCAGTCAAATCAGAGGAGGATAATAAATAATCTCAAAATTCTATTTCAATTCAATTCACGTACATCATAACATTCTAACAAGTTACTTATTTATTTTGACTATAAAATCACTTGTCTTATTATTTCCGAATGTACTTTATCTTTTATTGATTTTTATTGAAATATCTAATCATCACTCTCCCTCATGTGAGAATTGAGAACATGTGACATGAGAATTAATTATCACCAGTTCCTACTAGGTGCCATGTTTTAGAAGAAAAAAAATGTTTTTATGAAAATATTTCAAACTTAGTTGGTGAAATCTCTTCCGATGTCCAGTTCATTTCAAAATAATTCTGAATATTTATGTTCGGTTGGTTACCAATCGTTATGATTTGGATATCTTTTGATGAAACGATCCTAATCCTTCGTAAAATTTTGAGGAACAAACATCAGTATTCAAGGATCCCACACACTATTTCGAGGAGGTGGGGTATCACAGACACAGACTACTCAGGCTTAAAAATGCCTTCCATTGATCCCCGATTGAAAACCTACTAAAAAGGGGTAGGGGTGATAACTAGGACAGACTAACAATCATTGACTGATGCAATCAATTAGATATTGATTATTTATCGATTGGTATAAATGTCCGATGATATGTAGAGGATAATTTACTCTGGATTGTGCACAATAAAAGTTGTTGTCTCAGTTTAATCTAACTTCTGTATGTCTACTTAGTGTGTGTGTTCATGTGTGAGGAATATTGTCGAGTGATCCGTTGACTACAGTGCCAGAACTGGAGGCTCATTCTAGCCAAGCACAGACGACAAAAACAACAAAAACTTATTCTTATATCAAAAACAACCAAAAAAAAACATTAAACACATTCCGATGCAACAATATTTTGAAACTCTGGAGCAATTATAATCAATAGAACGCTATCACATTGTGAGTACATAACACTTAAAGTATTTAAATAATCGATTAACAAGGTTGAACAAAACAAATAAATAAATAAATGTACTCTAGTTTTAAAGGATAACTTTTTTCTGGAAGAGATACAATTTAGCTTTTATCACTGTTATTTTCAAACATAGTGCCCTGAGTTCGAATCCTACTCTGATTTCTTTATATTTAGGCTGAACAACCAAATAGTATAGTGTGACTTACAAACTTGGTGCGTCGGTGGCAGAGTGGTTAGGACGCTCACCGACCATGCACATGGTCGAGGGTACGATCCCCGGCCGACGCACTCCTTTACCTCGCTACGTCAGAAATAAAAAAAACTGGTGAAGAGGAAAGGTTGGGCATGAGGCTAGCAAAGCTATCCTGTAAAAACGAACACTGATAAAGAAACTTCAAGCCTCTAGCTTGAAGCCCTATGTTCCACTGGGAACACGAAGGAATAAATAATAGTAATACAAAGTTGGTAGACACACCCGGACATTCCCAATGATTGACTGGAGTGAAGTGTTCAGCCTCAGGTTCACAAGTAGACTACTTATGTGAGGATGCTTCGATGGCGTCTGAGGATTTAACTTAAAGTAATTTGGTAATTGATTATTATCAGTGGGTGGAATCCAGCATGAGCATCTCGTCCTATTTCAGACTCGTCATCCGGATGTACCTGCATTCCCCAGCAACGGCTGAAAACTTCGGTTCAATCAATCAACAGGGGAAAGTCAACATTGAATTAAATAATATTAATTGATACCCGTTGCACAAGAAACAGGTAGTTCTCGTGGATAACATTTCCACGTTTGAAACGATGGATACTTGGTTCAAGTTTCAGTGGGGATATCATCACTCCCTTCATGATGAATGCATGTACATCCAGATGATGAAACCACAGCAAGACAAAATCCGCATTCTGGAGGATTTCACTGCTAGTCACTATCCACCAAATTACTTCAACTCGAACTGCTGCACTTCAGTGCCATGTTCTATGTTTAATCCAGACAGACAGACAGAAATTACTTCAAATTAAACCTAGACTACGTAGCAGAGCTGTACGCAGCTTACCAATCTCACGTAGTCTGGATTCGATTCCCCGCGGACACACTCCTCAAACCCATCTAATTCTAATTTACTAGACGCTGACAAACTCACAAAAGATGGAAGGTTGGGGCGTGAGGCTAGGAACTATACAATCTATGCCTACACATGAAATACACAAAATAACAACAGTCCCCATGTAGTGTTGATCAATATCACCATATATAAACATACTGTTGTTCGCTTTGTTACAATACAGTCACCTTGAAAACATTTTTCACATATCAAGGGCGATGAGTAATAAACATTGTGTGAGTGAGGGTTGATGACATTATCATCAAGTTGGCCTGACTAATTTAGCTCAATACGAGCCTAGCTCATTGGATTAAGCAATCCAACTTCAAGCCAATTGGTTTCAGGTTCGACACCCGGTCCTGAGCACTTCAGCTCATTTGGCATTTACTAACTCACGCTATCTCTGGCTTAGTAGACGTGATATCTGGTTGGCTGTCGACCAAAAGATATGTGTACCGCACAGCAGTACTTCGCTGTCTGCCTTTATAGCTGGTTGTGAGCGGAAGACATGAAAAGCCTAGTTAGCTGTCTTTGACCATAGATGTCTGCGTTCTATCTCCCAGGTTAGGTGGTGGTATAATAGGGTGAGCAATATTAAGGTTAGGTGTCAGTCGAGTGCTAGGTAAGGAGGGGAAATCAATCGATGAGGTTGTGAAGTTACATCGATAGAGGAGATGGTTACGACATGTGTTACCATACCTGCCTAGCCATCGATCGCCTTCGTGGAGGGTCAATTTTCGCCACCGACATAGGATCAATTAGGTTGGAAAAGAGTTACCACATGGTGGTCAAACGAAAATATGACTTCACCAGTCAATCAAATCCATAAGAGTTACTTTAAGCCAGTCATGTACGGAGGTGTAGACTGACCGGCTGACAGGTTGAGGTCCTTGGGATAGTAAGAAAACCAGTCATGGCTGAAGACAATTGGTGGTATGGCTCAAAATCGTCGTTCTTGGTAATGGCGGGCGCAGATGCATTCACTCTTTATGATTTATCAGATCCTGTAGAACTCTATTATTATTCCATATTACTATTCTTTTCCCCTCGCTCCTACTTCTGTTTATTATCTCTCTTGATTCTCTTCTTTTGCTTTGTGTACTACATGGGGGTGGGGTGGGGGAGAGTGGGAACTCGAACAGGTGCACATCCGTGCAAAGTTCTATGCTGAAACCAGTTAGTCAGTTAGTCCGTCAGTCAGAATTCAGCCTAATAAGCAACTTTCTGACTGACTGAGTTCCAGTACTGGAATTCGCCGAATTCCATGTGGCAAATAAATCAAGAAAAAAAGACAGTAACAAGGGATTCAAAAGCCTGCAATAAGCAGAAATGTGAGGAGGAAGGAAGAGCACTAAAAAAGAAAAGCATGATGGTTTATTGGATATGGGAAATCACAAAGAGTGAAACCACCTGCACCTCTGACAACGATTCCCAACCATATCATCAACTGTCTCTGGCCATTGGTTTTTAGATTTCCAAAGACCCCAACCAAGAAGCCTACACCTCCCTACGTGATTGATTTGAAATAACTGTTAAGGACTTCATGGACTGATTCCATGTTTGACAGTAATGTAAATGGAATTACACTCCACCACGACAGTGCCCATTGTATTCACTTTCAAATATCACACAGTGATGATGAAGTCTTAACAACTGGATGACGTTTCAGATACAATTTATTGCTCATAATAATATCAATTTACTCACATAGCTTTATAATTTTATCTCTTTCCGTCTTCCTCTTGCTGTTTGTTGTCACTTTCCATATCTCCAGTGAAGGTGCTGCTTCATTTCGATTGCATGTATGAGCTGTCGAATCGATAAGCGAAGTTTCAGAGATTTCATTGTTTCAGTAACTGAACAGACTTCCTCTGTATGCAGAGTTCGGAATTTAACATGTGGATCACCGTCATTTATGTCGTTTGGAAAATGTTTAATTTATACTACTCTTTAGCAGGATTTCTGCGTGCTCTTTAGATGACTCTGAATTTAGTTTGATAGTTCTTTCGATCTCCAGAGTTGGTCAGATGTTCTAAGATAGAGGTTGGGGCAGTGAGGGGTGAGGAAATCCTTTTTCTACTTTGTAAAACCATGAGGATAAATGTTCGATGGTACGTCTGGATAGTAAACGCTGAGTACGCCAGACATACGCGGTTCCACAGAAGTAAGTGAGGGTAGAATTGGTAGCTTATCCTTCATGTTCACATGAGAATCATCAATCTTCTTTAGAGAGTGAGTGGAAGTTCACTTGAGGGATAGTTTTTCAGTATTTACGACCATGCATCTCCATTGAATTCAAATAGATTCAAATAGAAAAATCTTTTAGGGTAAGGAAATGGATGAGGTTTCACTGGTGTACGCATCGTGGATTTTGTGGTGACGCTTTCAGAGTAGCCATTTTTAATGAGGACTCCTTTTAGATTGTTCACCTCCTCTTCCACAGAATCATATTTATTAGGCTTTCCAACAAAATAATCATCATGGACTATTGTCAATCATTTAACCAACAGTGGAATTAGTTCACCAAGTATCAATATACACAGTCTGAGAAGGTACAAATATTACACATGTCATGTACTTTATAATCAATATACAAACATGTAAATTAAGAGGAAAAAGTACACTGTGTAGAGAGCACCATTTTAACCGTAATCATCATAATTAAAGTACAGAGCGAACTGTAAAAATATCATTAATAGGTATAATTAATTCTAGAAGCCTTTTTTCTGTGAGTTATTCAACCAATAGTAGCAAAGCAACCATTCATTCGTCAAGTAAACAACCAATCAGAATACAGTGTTTTGAGTACAAATTAAAAAAGTCGAATTCTGATTGGACAATAGATAAATAACCAATCTAAAAATAGTAATAATGATGAAATAATTATACGGTTTTACGATTTCGTTCAAATAACTGATGAAATAATGACAATGAATAATTACAATAATAATAATAATAACAATAATAATAAAACTCACTTCTTCTGCAGATCTTCGATAAACTCTTCCATCAGCATATTTGTAGTTCGTTACATTCCCGTCAGCATCAAAGCCTAACAGCTCACGACTTAAACTGCTAGTACGACCTGACTGGACTTCATGTAAATGACGAAATAGATTTAATCGTGCTTTGCCACGTGCATTATCCAATTCCCCGTCTGTTAATACACCGATCAATGTCGACTTGCCTGAATCCATTCCACCGACTAAAGCTACGCACAGGTCAGGTGACTAGACAACACACAACAATACAAAAGGAGGAAAGTGTTTAGTGAAAAAAGAGATGAAGATATAAAGAAATCATATTTTATCCTTCATATACACACGCTCACACAACGAAAATAAATTATGGTCACAAATTGACTTCAGTTAGAGGACCGTCGGATGATTGGTTAGTCCTTCTTTGTGACTTTTCAACGGTACGCGTGCATGAGCTGATAAGGGTTGGAACTCAGAGCCTCCAGGTCACAAAGTGAGCTCATATGCCATCCAGCTCATGAGACGAAATCCAAAGTAGTATCCTTTCTGACTTTAGACACTTCAAGACGTTTTGCGCCACAGCCAGCCAATACCACCTGTCAGTATCTGTTCTCACGCGCACCTTGATACATCCCTCTGATTCCTGTTGAAATCATTGGCGCATACTGATGAAGAGTAACAAACAGGGACGAAACAACTGTGTTGTACCCTCTGGTAACCAATAGTTCTATCTAACTCAAGTCAATTCGTGATCAAAACTTAGATCGATCAAATACCTGCAGATCACTTGAGATTTAATTGACGAATATATACATTAGCGTGAAAATACTTTGTTAATTCTGTTATTTTTCCTTATTCCTCCACTTCTACTCTTTCCTGAGACTATTTAAGAAAGACTTTGTGATACCGCGAAGGGAATTCAAAACTGCGAGTGAATTGTCACTAAGCTAACTCGTTAAAACTGTTGTAGATAGAATCATGATGTAATTACTCAAAAACTTGGCGAATACCATCTTGTCAGACTCTGAGAATCCTCCTTCTACACAACTCTCTCCTTGTTACTCAACAGGTAGAACTTGAAACAATTATAACAGACTTTATGCTCAGACAACTATTTTTTTTTTTATTTACAGCTTAATTCCACACTGTATTTTTGGTACAAGTATGGAATTTTCAGCATGGATATCGGTAGCCCAAATTTTACAGGCCGACCATAGATATCAGGTGTGCGCCGGCGTGGGCTCGAACCCCGGACCATGTGCATGGTCGGTGAGAGTCCTAACCACTGTGCCACCGACGCACACTAAATATTATAACAACTCTACGATGTCTTATTTATGTAGTGAGAAAATTGTTAGGCGATAAGCTACCCACTTAGTGGGAAACACTCAGTAAGTGGCGCTTTTTATTCTTTGTATCCTATCCCGACGGGCATTACTAGCTGATATAGGTGCAGGTTGGAAAAGAGCCAGTGGTGGCCAAACAAAAAACATGGCATCAATCCATGAAATCCTTGACAGTTAAACTAAGTCAGGTAGGGAGATGCAGACTTCCGGGTTGGGGCCCTCGGGACTCTAGGAATCAATGGCTGGAGACAATAGGTGATATGGCTCAAAATCGTTGTCAATGGCGCAGATGTATTCAGTCGCCGTAACCTTTCATATTTCTTTCTACCATTACCCATTCTATTGCGCTCTTATACCTGCCAAACTCTATTGATTCTCTTCACTCATCTTCTTGTCTGCCTTTGTGTGCTATTTGGAACGTGGCAACTCGATTTGCTGCACCGCTTTAGAATAAGGAAAATTTGTAGTTCTGATTGCGTCGACTCAGAACTCGACTTCCTGAAAGCCACACTCGCAGAAAACGGTTACCTTAACCGATTTATTGACAGAAACATGAAAGAGAAGCAGTCTAAACTGGTCACTGACTCAGTTCCAAAGAAAACCCTATTCGTGAACTTGGAATTCAAAGGAGATCAAGCTTCTGATATGCTCAAAAATCGTCTTTCTAAATCAGTTAGTAAAACGTTCCCTGCAGCTAGATTACATATGACGTTCACGAGCCGCAAACTGTTCTCTACCTCTGTAAAAGATAAGCTCCCCCGTCTGACCGCCTCCATGTGCATCTACCAGTTCACCTGCTCTTGTGGAGCAAGGTACATTGGCCGTAGTCAGAGAATGCTCTCCACACGGATACGAGAACATATTCCAGCTTGGTTTTACAAAGGAGAAAGGAAATGTGTGCGAAGTTCTATCTTAGAACACCTCATCGACTCTTGTCACTCGGTCAACCCTGACCATGATTTCAAGGTCATATACAGAATTCATGCCAACTTCCCGCGTTTTCTTCGTTACAGACTTCTAAAGACAGCTGAGGCCTTGGCAATTCATGACTTTAAGTCAGACCTTTGTGTACAAAAGAAGTATGTACAATCCCTACTGCTGCCTTGGCCGTAGAGGGATAGACATTTATTTTATTATTTTATGTACTTTTCCCTTATTACTTCGATTATTATTATCATTATTATTACGACTCTCATTCTGAATCTTTTCCACTTGATCTACTTGACATTTTAAACCAAAAAAAAAAAAATTATTCATGTGTATACTTTTTATCTTTATTTTTACAATATTAAATTATATATATATATATGTCAATAGAAAGAGCAGTCAAATCCAAGTTTTGTTTTCGACAATGCATATAAACGCACTTTCCACCAGATAGACACGTCGAATTTATTTTATCGATTTTTCTTATTGAGAGGTGCAGAGATATACAGGTAAGTAGATAGATAGACACACAGACAGACAATTACAGATACACAGTTAAATATTTGAATAGAGGTACAGACAGACATGGCTGGATTAACATAATCGCTAGAAAGTACATGGATAGACAGACACAAGGAACTAGGTGATGTAAGGTGCAAAGGTTTATTTTTCCTGAAAATACCTTCAAACCAGTCTGGTTATGGTACACAATTGATTGCTTGATTGATGGATAGACAAGTGGAAACTAACCAAAACATTTTTGTTGGGAGAAGGTGGGGGTTTAATTACTTTCAAGTTGGATTTAAGATACGAACAACTACCAACTTATAAAATTAGAGAGTAATTATTGATCAATCATATGAAGGACTGAACAGCTGTTTTATTTTGTTGCTGTGCCAGTTAGAATTCATTCTCAGCACGGATGCAAAAAGGCGCATTGGCGTTTACTATCCTCAGGATCCTCCCAACTTGTACGCCGGCCGGACAGTCTACACCTTCCTAAGTGGCTGGGCTGGCTAGCTTCAACTAATTCTTATGGATTTCATTAACTGATGAAGCTATGTTTCCGTTTGACCACCATGTGCTATCTGTTTTCCAACCTGATCGATCTTATATCAGCAAATAAAATCGACCGTCAAGGAAGGCGATCGATGGCTAGACAGGCATGTGTAACACATCTCCTAACCATCACCGCAATCCATGTAACTTCACAACCTCATCGATTGATTTTCCTTCCTTCCCTACCACCCTATTATGCCAACACCTAACACATAGGATATAGAACGCAGACACTTATGATCAAAGATAGCTAACCGGGCTCTGCATGTCGTCCAATTTCAATGGCCGCGTTTCACTCACAGCCAACCATAAAGAAGGATGGAAAGAACTTTTGAACAGCACACACACCTTTCGGTAGACAGTCGGATACCACGTCTACTAACCCAGAAATGGAGTGAGTTGCCTACAAATGCCAAACGAGCCTTCTGTATCCGTGCTGACATTTCGTGGGTGATCAACCAGCTAGGGCTGGCTGGTGGAGCTCCCTAAATAAAAGAAGTGGTCAACACGCTCCAGTAACCACTCAACTCCTGATTATCTTTAAGCTAGAAGTGAATTGATGTAGTCCAGTCCAGTTTTGTAGCGTCATCTTACATTTGATAGCAGGAGCGAATCGCATACCAAACATTCGAAGGTTGCTGCTCCTCAAGGTGTTCAGAAGACTCAGCGGCTTCACCTAGAAGGCAGGACTGATGATAACATGTCAATCGGGGAGTTGCTGAAGCTGGATTTGTGTATGGTTGCCGAGTCAGGTGAAAGTAAATGATGGCAGCTGCCAACGGGTTGGGTTCCCGATTGGAACACATGGAATTAATAACGACATAATAATAACACCAAACAAAATGTATCCAGTTGCCCTAACAACACAACACAAAACAGTCAATCGATAAATTTCAATCAACATTAATGATTTATTAAACAGTTCTAGGTCAGTTAACAAATTAATCACACCTAACCCACCCACCCACTCTGTAGTTTTTATATAAGGTCAATTATGACTTGAAATTATTCCGTGGTCAGCTGCGGATTAATACACACATATACAAGTGACAGAGGGGAACACTTGTTTTACTTTTATGCAGCTGGTGGCATTCATCAGAAAGCTGTTGTTGGCAACCGTCAGCAAGGCGCATCTACCATCTAGTAAGAAGTGATGTACCTTGTAAGATTTGGACCTGGGTCACCTGAATATATGGTTCGCAGGGATTTGATTGGTTACAGGACTGATAGCGAACTGACATCATTTTAGACAACGGTTGGAAAGTCTGGGAGTAATGGACAGGTGTTTCGTCCTACTTCAGGGCTATTCATCAGTGCACATCCACCAAAAGAGTTCAAACCCAGGACCACCACATCAGACACCGGGACCTGACCCAACGGGTCATGAATTCTAACATCTGCCAATACGTGATACATATTTAGCGCGATCGCCAGTTAGCGTCATACATGAGAAACTGTCCTCTTGTCTGATGAACTGCCGAAGAGTCCCAAACTAGGACGAAAAATATGTTCGGTACTCCCAGGTTTACCGATGGTTCTCTACCCGATATACATATATCTTACTGATGTGTGAGTGAAAGGTAAACTGGACCCAAACAAAAAACTTGGAGGATCTGGACTTCGCCGATGATATATGTCTGATTTCCCACAAACTGGAAGATATGCAAGTGAAAAGCAACAAGTTGACGATAGAAGAAGCATCCAGAGAAAATAGGCCTTCAGGTGAATATAGAGAAAACAAAGGTGATGAAGATTCCTGGCCAACACCAACAACAACAGACAACAATCAGCCAGCATAAATGGGAGGAACCTGAAAGAAACAACCTCCTTCACCTAACGACCAGGGAAGCATCGTTTCAACTACAAGCGGACAGAACTGACGAGGATATCAAAGCAAGAATCAGGAAGGCAAGACAAGCTTTCATTACTCTCAAGTCTGTGTGGAGGTCAACAGCAATCAGCATGTAAAATAAGATCCGGATTTTCAACTCCAATGTGAAGTTAGTGCTACTCACCACACAGATCAGAGAATTGGCCAGCGCGTCATAAACAGCATCTCAAACAAACTACAGACCTTCATCAACAGCTGACTTCGCTCAATGGTACTCAAGATCAGATGGCCGGCAGAAAAGATCAGAAACAGGGATTTTTGGAAATGAGCGAACCAACCAGGAACCTATTGTGAAACAAATAGGCAGGAAGAAATGGAGATGGATTGACTGGCCATACTCTGAGGAAACCATCAGGTGACATCACTAGACAAGCCATTACTCGATTGGAACCCGAAAGGGAAGCGGCGAGTTGGTCGTCAGTGCAAGGGTGACATGGATGAGGTGATGCGAAGAGGAGATGATGAAAGCATGTGGACAGACTTGGAGCCAGGTAAAAACTCTAACAGACAATCGAACGCAATGGAGACGCGCCGCTGAAGCCTTATGTTCCTCTAGGAATTAAAGGGTATAATAATAATGAATGAATTACAGTTTGCTTTGCAACTGACTCCTAATGCTTAACATATTAGCCAAAAACAAGGCAAATAATAGTAATGGTAGTAATAATACGATCACTAATAATGATCTTGACCTTTTCAAGCTGGTGAGAAAAGGCGATAGTGTTAAAATGCATTACAATGATTTAAAAATTGAGTGAATATGATCAATTAACCTTTGAATAGTTCAAGAACTTCACACATGATGATATGAGAGTAAGTAATGTTACCTACCAGTATATATGTGTGTTTGTGTGTGTGAAATAGACATTGAATACGTTGATAAGACACTAGTTAGTCACTGGCTTCATGTGTCTAGTCCTTTGTGTTTGGAGTAGACTGCATTCTACTGCAGTCAAGTTTGTAATAGGGCCACCATGCCCACTCACTCGGTGACTTGCCATCACGATGCACTGTACCGTGAAGTGTTGATATTAGATGGTTGGAGGCAAATGGCCACAGGAAACCTTGGACACACTACTAGATTTCGTGCCAGTTGGCATTCACCAGTCAGGGCAAGGCGTATTTGCAAGCACATTGACGCATGTCCCTTTAGAGATTCGTGATTACGAGCCACCTTGAATGATAGCCACACACCAAACTTGACTGCAGTAAAATTCACTCAGCACCAAATAAACGACTAGACACATTACACTAATTACTAGCTAGTGTTCAATGAATACAATCCCACAGGAGGTGAATCGCGAATCCAATAAGCTCAGTGGTAACATCTCTGACTACAGCACTGGGTGATGCGGGTTCGAATCTCAGAAGATGGGACATGACTTCCTTCAAGGTCGCAGATACGCCTTGTCCTAACTGGTGAGTGCCAACAAGCACCGCACCTAGGTGTGTGTGTGTGTGTCCAAGGCTTCCTGTGGACGATTGTCTCCAATCATCTAACATCAACAATTCAAAGTACACCGTGATGGCAAGCTACTTAGAATGCTGACCACATTGAAAACCTAACTGATAGAATTCAGTCTACATCAAAAAAAGGACTAGGAAGCATCCCACTAGTTACTGATTAGTGTCCAATCAAAGTGACAACACAATTCATTTTAATATCATAATCGCATGCATGTAATAAATGATCTTCACTATGTTGCCTCTATGATATTATTTTGACTAACACTCACTAATCTGAGAAAATTTGTACATATTTTATTAGCTACTGTATAGTTGAAATGTAGAAGTGTATTGGTTGTATTCAATGAAACATACTGTGTTGTAACTGACATGACTATACGACAGCTGTAGTGAATGTAAATCTCTGTCTTTCCGCTGACTGACAGACATATCTGCTTTTTGTCTACATGGTCGATGAAATCCAAGAAGTGTTTCTATTTTGGTGTTTCATTATGGATAAATTTTATTTTGATAAAGTCATCACACAGTCTTAAGAAGTAATACTGACCAAGTTAAACTTTAAACTTTACCAGTTACCACTGGTAATTAGTGGTTCTTAAAGTTTAAATGAAGTTTATCACCTCCGTTCTCCCTATGCTCACCTGCAGCCCAAACTTTACTGCTGCTTCTTCGTCCAGTTTGTTGGTTTTCGCCTGCAAGTTAAACATAAATCATCTGCCTAGTAGTTCAGATCTTCGAGAGTCTTCTTATTGGTCTAACGAGTTATTGTCTTCTCACTCCTCGACACCCTCAACAGTCTGACGTACAATTCAGTCCACCAAAATTAGGAATATCATAGGTGATAATAGACAGGCAGGCAGGTAGCCACCTTGTCTTATTCCTGTTGTAAGATCAATTCTATTCCCATCCTTGAATCAAGTCAACCTGTCCCGGATCAGCCTAGCGTTGTTGCAACCCGGTTGTTGCTACCTGGTTAAGTAGCCAATTAAATTCTATCTTTGTGCCTATGCTCGGTCTATCTCTCTTAACCGCTCTCTGTTTTATGCCATGCCTTACTTGGGTTCATTCTTCTACTGACAGCTTACCTGAACGGTCATGTCTGGTTCCGGCTAGTTCGCAATTTTGGCTTTAACGTTATTCCGCTCTCATAGCGGTACCTTGCTTTCTGTTAAGCGTTGTGCTTTGTACTCTTGAAACCGTTAAGGTTTGTTGTATATATATAATTATTGATTTGTTTATTAATAGTACCGTAGAAACAGTGACCGGCTTCTTGTTTGTTCTGGACCGGGATAGCCTTTATCTACGCGTGACTTAATTTCAAGCGATATTGCGCTTACACCTGTATTCACTTGGAATGCCTCACTGAGTTTCCTGTTGTGGATCACCTGACACATGTCAATGTGATATAGCCAGCTACGGCTGAATGAGGTTGATAATGACTTGAGCACTGCAGCCCGTAGTGTTGAAGTGCTTTCCAAAGTACTTCTCGGTCAACGCTGTCTGTCGAAGGCCTTTTCGAAGTTAATGAAGAAAGTTGAGCTAGAGGTTTGACTACCATCCTATGCATTATTATTATTATTGTATCCTTTAGTTCCTAGAGGAACATAGGGCTTCAGCTGAGCACCTCCATTGCCTTCGGTTTTCTGACAACTTTTTCACCCTGCTCCAGGTCTGTCCACATGCTTTCATCTCCTCCTCGCATGACCTCCTCCAAGTCACCCTTGCACTGACGACCAACTCGCCGCCTCCCTTTCGGGTTCCACTCGAGCGATGGCCTGTCGTGTGATGTCACCTGATGGTTTCCTCAACGTATGGCCAATCCATCTCCATTTCTTCCTGCCTATTTGTTTCACAATCGGTTCCTGCTGGGTTGGTTCGCTTCCAGAGATCTTTGTTGCTGAATTTTTCTGGCCATCTGATCTTGAGTATTGAGCGGTGACAACTGCTGGTGAAGGTGTGTAGTTTGTTCGAGGTGCTCTTTATGACGCGCTGGTCAAGATTCTGATCCGTATAGTAGCACTGACTTTACATTGGAGTTGAAAATCCGGATCTTATTTTTGATGCTGAGTGCTGTTGACCTCCACACAGATTTGAGAGTAATGAAAGCTTGTCTATGCATAGGGTTGCAATTTAATCATCACACGATTAACCTTTCCTGAATCCAGTTTGTGTGGCTGGCGGAGTCCTGTATCCAGTGCATCTTTTATTCTCTCTTCGTTTATATACATGACCGAAATTTGATTGATAATTTACTATAACAAATGACACAAAAACCTTCTGTGAGATTTCATCAGCCGTAGAGAAAGAATCAATTGGTGCATAGTGACTAGCAGTGGAATCCAGGATAAGCATTTCGTCCTATTTCGTACTCATCATCTGTCAACCTGAGACCTAGCACTTCGGTCCAAATTAACCAACGATAAAATCTAAATTGAACTAAGTAGAGAAGGAATACTTTGCTCGTCAGGTTAGCAACGTCATAAGGTGTGAAAGGAAACACTGTCTGTCTGTCTGTTTTCGACATAGAACTTTGCACCAATGTGCACCAGTTCAAGTCGCCACACTCCACTCCCTGTAGCACACAAACCAAGATAAAAAAGTAGAAGAAATGCATATTAGTGACAGTAGATAGAGGTCTGAGAAAAAGGAACAGTAATAACGAAGAACAATAGAGTTTCATTGGAAATCGCAAGTCACAAGGAGTGGATGCATCTGCTCCTGCCATTGACAACGATTTTGAGACATATCACCAATTGTTTCCAACCATTGGTTTTTACCGTCCCGAGGACTCCAACCAGTCAGGAAGTCTACAACTTCTTATGTGGCTGGCTTAAACTAACTGTTGTGGATTTCATTGACTGATGGCGCCATGTTTTGGTTTCATCACCGCTAGCTCTTTTCCAGCCTGACCCTATGTCAGCTAACACTGCCCGTCGTGGAAGTCGAAGACTAGGCTGGGCATTAGTAGCACATGTCCTAACCGTCTCGGTCTATGTAATTTCACAGCCTCGTCGATTGATTTCCCCTCCTTACCTAGCACTCGATGGATTCTTAACCTCAATATTGCTCACTTTATTATACCATTTCACACGGGAGATAGAACGCAGGCAGCTATTATCAAAGACAACTATTCTTTTCATGTCTTCCACTCTCAATAGCCAGGTTTCACTGACAGCCATAAAGGAGGACGGAGCGGACTGCTGCTGGGCAGTATACCCACCCTTTGGTCGATAGTCAGGCGGATATCACGTCTACGCCAGAGACGGTGTAAACTGGCATATGTGAAATTAGCCCTTTGCATCCGTAAACAACTGCTACTGAATTCATTTCCGGAAAAGGATGACATAATGCCGTAAATAACAAACACTATTAAAGGAAAACATGACATTGACAGACAGACAGACAAATATAAACACTTACGCCATCATTTGTTGTTGGCGCTAAACGAACCAATAATTCAATAGCTTTACGATATTCTCTATTTATCGGATTGGTAGTATTATTATCACCATCATCTGCAATTGGTTCAATAATACGTTCTCTTAAGGGATGCAGTGTAGCATTCAAACGTTTTGCCATACGTTCAAGTGTTGCCAGGGAACTGACTAATTCACTTTGACACAGGCCACTAATATGTCCATCATCATCAACGCCTAATTTGTATATCGCTTTCCCTCCGCCTTCATTAAGACGCCATTTCATTTGTGTGACAAGTTGTTCAAAACGATTCGGTGTTGGATCAACCAATTTCCGCTGTAAAGATTATAAAAAACATAAAATTAATAATAATTAAACTATTTAAATATCAGTAAATAGGATTAATTGTATATATTGGATTTCATCATGAGGGGTGACATCAGTTAAAGAATCACCATTAGAAAACGAGTTCTCAAGTCTGTCTGTCTGTCTATTTTCAGCATAGAACTTTGCACCGATATGCCCCAGGTCAAGTCGCCACACTCCACTTCTTGTAGCACACAAAGCAAGAGAAGAAACGCAAAATAGAGACGGTAAACGGGGATATGAGGCAAAAAGAATAGTAATATTGAAGAACAATATAGTTTATTGGGCATTAGAAGTCACAAGGAGTGGATACATCTGCGCCTGCCACTGAGAACGATTTTGAGCCGTATCACCAATTGTCTTCGGCCATTGGTGTTTACCATCCTGAGCACCCGAACCAGTCTGGAAGTCTACACCTTCCGACGTGGCTGGCTTAAACTAACTGTTGTGGATTTCACTGAGGGATTAGGTCATGCTTTCATCTGAACACCACTAGCTCTTTTCCTACTACTACTGCTCCCTTGGGTTCCTAGTGGAACATAGGGCTTCAACTGCACGTCTCCATTTTCTTCTGTCTTCTGCTGTACTTTTCGCCTGCATCCATGTTAATCCATATTCTTTCAACTCCTCTTCACACGATCTCCTCCATGTCACCCTTGGACGTCCCACACGCCGCTTCCCTTTCGGGTTCCACTCGAGGGCTTGGCGCGCGATGTCACCCAGCGGTCTCCTCAGCGAGTGTCCGATCCATCTCCACTTTCTCCTGCATATTTGTTGGGCGATTGGTTCTTGCTTTGTTTGTTCCCATAATTCCTTGTTGGTGATTCTTTCCGGCCATCTGATCTTCAGTATTGAGCGAAGACAGTTGTTAATAAAGGTCTGCAGCCTTTTGGAAATATTCTTTGTGACCCGCCCCCAAGTTTCTGATCCGTATAGAAGAACTGACTGATTACGTTTGTATTGAAAATCCGAATTTTGTTGGTGATGCTGAGTGACGAAGATTTCCAGATTGATTTCAGGCTGATGAATGTGTTTCTCGCCTTCCCGATTCTCGCTCGATTTGACATCCTCGTCCGCTCCTCCTGTAGTTGAGACAATGCTCCCTAGATAAGTGAATGAAGTAACCTCTTTCAAATCCCTCCCGTTGATGGTGATTGACGTTGGATGTTGTTGCTGTTGTTGGTTGGTTATTTTCATAACCTCCGTCTTGTCTATGTTTACCTGGAGTCCTGTCTTTGCTGCTTCTTCGACCAGTTTGTCGGTTTTCGCTTGTAAGTCTTCGATTGTGTGTGACATCAAACATAAGTCATCCGCGCGAAATCCAGGTCTTCTAGGTTCTTCACGTCGGTCCAGGATATTCCTGTCTTCTCGTTTCCCACAGTCTGACGCATAATCCAGTCCACCACAATTAGGAATATCATTGGTGATAGTAAGCACCCTTGTCTGACTCCTGTGTTTACTCCAAACGCCTCGCTGAGTCTTCCGTTGTGGATCACTTGGCAGGTGCCGTTGTCGTACAGCTGTTGAATAAGGTTGATGAATATTTGGGGTACGCCATAGTACTCGAGTAATTTCCAAATTACTTCACGATCAACGCTGTCGAAGGCCTTCTCAAAGTCTATAAAGTTGAGGTAGAGGTTTGATTGCCATTCCATGCTTTGTTCTGTGATGATGATGCGTAGAGTTGCAATTTGGTCAGTACATGATTTGCCTTTCCTGAATCCAGCTTGTTCTGGTCGGAGTTCTGTCTCCAGTGCGTCCTTTAATCTCTCCAGGATGATGCGACTCAGGATTTTACTTGGCGTCGATAGGAGCATGATTCCTCGCCAGTTCTTGCAGAGTCCTAAGTCGCCCTTCTTTGGTAGTTTCACGAGGTAACCTTTCCTCCAGTCAGTAGGCACCTTTCCCTCCTTCCAGACCTTTTGCAATAATGGAGTCAGCATGTCTGCTGTCGTCTCTGGGTCTGCTTTCAGTGCTTCAGGGGGTATTCCATCTGGTCCGGCTGCTTTTCCAGCTTTCAGAAGCTTGATTGCGTTCAAGACTTCAGCTCTCGTTGGAGGATTGGTGTCAACTTGCAGTTGTGTGCGCGCTGTTGTTGGTATTTCTGGACGGGTTGCAGGTGATGGTCGGTTCAAGAGTCCTTTGAAGTGATCCGCCCATTGTTTAATCTGTTTTTCTTCCTTGGTAATGGGCTTCCCTTGGCTGTCTTTTATAGGTTTCGCTTGTGTTGATCTCTTCCCGGATAGAGATTTGGTTATCTGATATAGTGTCCTCAGGTCCCTTTTGCCTGCTGCCTTTTCAGCTTCAGTAGCTAGATTGTCGTAGAATCGTCTTTTGTCCTTCCTAGCACTTTTCTTCACTTCTTTGTCCAATGCTTTGTAAGTTGAGCTCATCGTCTCCTTCTCCTGTCCGTCCTTGCATTGAATCATTTTCTCTTTCACCATTCTCCTCTCTTCTATTAATTTCCAAGTGTCCGTTGAGAGCCATTCCTTGTCTTGTCTCTTCTTTCTTCCTAGAACCGTTGAACACGTTTCGTTGAGAATCGCCTTCAGAGACTTCCAATGTTCTTCCACGCATGATTCTTCAGTGATGTCGCGTAGTGTTTCCTGCTTTGCTCTGACAGTTGCAGTGAAAGTGTCTTTTGTGGTTGTGTCCTTCAGTAATTGAGTGTTGAACTTGCATTGTGGCCTATCCCCAGCTATCCTCGAGGCTTTTAGTTTCACCTTGAAAGTCCCTTCTACTAGATAGTGGTCTGAACCCACATCTGCTCCTCTCCTTGACCTTGTGTCCAGTAGGCTCCGTCTCCACTTTCTTGAAATTGAGATGAAGTCTATTTGGTTCTTGGTGTTTCCATCTGGTGAAATCCATGTCGTCTTGTGTATATCCTTGTGTTTGAACACACTACCACCAATCACCAAATCATTGAAGGCGCAGAAGTCTGAGAAGAGTTCACCATTGTCGTTCATTTCACCGAGGGCCTCACGACCCATGGTGAGTTCTCTTCCTGTGTTGTCTCCTCCCAGCTTCGCATTCATGTCGCCCATCAGGATTTTGATATCGCCATTTGGGACGTTGTCCATTATTGCTTGTAGTTGTCTGTAGAACGCCTCCTTCTTCTCTTGTTCTGAGACGTTTGTAGGCGCATAACATTGAATGACTGTAACTTTCCTTCCTTTTGAGTTGAACCTGGCTGTCATTATCCTGGAGGAGATTGGTTCCCACTGCATGAGAGCTTTGGTTGCTGTTGGTGACATCATGATGGCCACTCCCTCGGTGTGCTCATGGTTGTCCTCTGGGTGGCCGGAATAGATTACTGTCTCTCCAGTAGGTAGTTGGCACCTTCCAGTTCCGTTCCATCTGCTTTCGCAGATTCCCAACACTTCTATTCTGTACCTTCTCATTTCAGCGGCTATCTGGGCAGCCTTTCCAGTTTCGTACATTGTGCGAACATTCCAGGTACCCATCCTTACTTTTGCTTTCATCGAAAGAAGGCACATCGGCTGACTGGCTTCCCGAAGGCTTTCACCAGCCTGCGTCATTTCACTTCCCCGATTCCAGCGAAAAGTAAGGCTATTGCTTATGTTTTTAGAATTTTTAATATATTTATTCGTTGAAGTTTCTGTAGCGATTTGGTTGTTTTACAGGGGTGGAGTTGCTAGCACCACGCCCCAACCCTCCCTCTTTACCCGGGCTTGGGACCGGCGAGAAAACTAGTAAGCTAGTAGCCTAGCAAGCTAGTATCTGGCGAGGTTAGCTCTTTTCCAGCCTGACCCAATGTCAGATAACATTCCCTGTTGAGGAAGGCGACGACCAGGCATACGTAACACGTGTCCTAACCATCTCAGTCGACGACACTGCGAAGCTACATCGACTGAGATAGGACACGTGTTACGTACGCCTAGCCATCCATTGCCTCCTCGACGGGCAGGCTAGAAAAGAGCTAGCGGCGGTCTTCATAGTATGTACTCAACGCCAGATTTCGAACTCGACACCTTCCAGCTACTAAGTGAGCTAGTTCGTAAACTATTAAGCCACTGGGACCCGATCCAATAGGCGGTACGTACAACAGCAATTCCAACTTCTGCTAATTCACGATATAGCGCGACTGGAACTAGCTAATGCCGTCGCTGGTTAGCTTTCTGTTCTCACACACGACCACCTACTGCACCCCACTAGCCACTACTTTTCACCAAAGCCCAGGTGACAGTCTACCTATTTGGATAGGGCCAGTCGCTAGTGAGCATCACTTTAATATTCAAGTGTTGGTTTTGACGAGCTTCAGGGATTCATCATGAGCACAAAATTAGGAATAATTAAAATGTCGAAAATTCAGTGAATAAAATTATTTACCATGGTTTTTGTTGATCTACTACTGGTATTATTTATTTGGACTTAATTAAGGGGGAAATTTATCATGTAACAGGTTAAGTCATTTCTTTTATACAGGTTGGAAACTTGGTTAGCGCGTCACGAAAATCATTCCAACAGCCAGCTGCAGACTTTAATCAATAGCTACCACCTTTGCTGGTTGCATATTGGAGATCAAATGGCTAATGGAAGGAAGTAGCAACAGGGAACTTTGAGGAACAAACCAATCAAGAACGTATTGTTCAATAAATATTCCCAAGAAACTGGAGTTGGATCAGGGGCACACTGAGGAGACTTTTAAGGGAAATCGTGCGCAGTGCAGGCCATCGCTCAAGTAGAACCCGAATGCAAAACGAGGTGTTGGGCGTTGGTCTGAGGCTTACAGACATGAGGCTATCTGAAGAGATGAGCGACTATAGGCAATCTTGTGATCAGTTAAAGAGGACACCAGAAAGTACGACAAAGTGGAGACGTACTATGGAATCCCTATGTTACACGCGGAACCCAAGGGAACAATAATAATACATAATAAGACTATGAGATACACGCTTATTGTGTGAGCGGGACTGGGAGCGAATGATACTTTTCAGTTGCCTTCAGAG